GAATCTGTTCATTTTTCCCTAAATTTTCCATTTCGTTAGAGTACAGTTTATTAAAGTAGATACTGATAATCTCTGGATTTCCGCAGGATCTATTGTGATTTCACTCTTCTTTTTTTTCCTAACTGCATGGTTTGGGGTCATTTCTTTCCTTTTTTGATAATGTTGGCTAAAGATCTGTCTATTTTATTCAATCTTTCAAAGAGTAAGCTCTTCAGTTCATTAATTCTTTGTATTGCTTTCTTAGTCTCCATTGCATTAATTTCTCCTCTGAACTTTATAATTTCTTCTCTCATATATGCTTTGGTTTTACTTGCTTTTCTTTTTCTAGATGTTTGAGGGTCAACTTTAGGTTATTTGCGCTCACTGTTTTTCTCATGTGAGAATTCATTGCTGTAAATTTCCCTTGTAATGCTGCTTTTATTGTGTCCCATAAATTCTGGTATGTCATATTGACATTATCATTTAATTATAGAAACTCTAATTCTTTTATTTCATGTGACTCATTGACTGTTCAGGAGAGTGTTATTTAATTTCCATGTGTTGGTGTGGCTTTTGTGATTTCTTTTGCCATTTGCACTATGATCCGATAACATGCATGAGATAATTTCAGTTCCTTTACATTTTCTTAACCATGGTCTATGAGCTAGTATGGGGAAAGTCCCATTTGCTGCTGAGAAGAGTGTATTGTGCTGTCGTTGGGTGGAACACTCTGCAGCTATTTACCAAGTCTATTCGTTCAAAGGTTTGGTCCAGCTCTGATATTTCTCTGTTGGTTTTTTGTCTAGTTGGTCTGTCTGTTTGTGACAGAGGGATATTGAGGTACCCTATTACAGTTATACTACTGTTTATCTGATTTTTCATATCTATTAGTATTTGTTTTATATAATTGGATGCCCTGGTATTTGGTGTATATTCACTTACGATAGCTCTCTTACACTGATCCCTTAATAAGTATGTAGTGACCTTCTTTGGTAGAGAAAAAAAGTTTAATGTCTTGACACAAATAGGACCAAAGAAATGGTACAGTAACTGGAGAGAGAAATGTGATCAAAGTTTTATTTTTTAGATAAGAGAGAGAATACCAGGTTTGATTCTTTTTTTTTTTTTAATGCTGAAGGTCAAACTCATGACCTTGTACTTCCCAGGAGTTTATGCTGCTGAGCTAAATCTCTGGCCCCAGGTTTGAAGGAACAAAAATATATGTATGTTAATCATCTAGAGAAAGATTATCTATTCTATCTCTTTCAGATTTTAATTTGATGCTTTCCAGAGCAAAATGCAAGTGTCCAGAAGGTTTAAAAAAATCCAGTCCTTTGGAATGACAGAAAAATATCATAAGCCTTTTATTTATAATGGCTTTATCTCATCAGAGTTTAATTTTTAGTTTTTGTTTATAAATTCTTTAAAATAAATAATTTATAAATATATAGACACATATTGGAATATGTGGTCAACATTTGTTATTGATAGAAGTATAATAGTCAAAAGTTTGGCAGTTACTGTATTAAACTATAAATTTCTAAGAGATAAATTGCTTACATTTCATACATTGATTTTAATTCATACATTTGATTAATAGCTATCCATAACGAAAAAATTAGTACCTGTAATGGTGCACAGAAATTATGCTTGCAAAGCCAGGTGTGATGGCCCATGGATACCTGTAATCTGGCACTTGGGAAGCTGAGCCAGAAGGCTTGCCACAAATTTGAGGCCAGCCTGAACTGCACAGCAAGACCCTATCAAAAAGAAACAAAATTAATTAATTAATTTAAAATAATTTTTTAAAAAGAAATTATGCTTGTAATAGGAATGAAACTAATGTACCTGGAAGAATGCAGTATGCATCTTGGAACCAACTTCCACCCAAACACTGATAACTCAAAAATGTGTTTTTTATCTCCCCATTCAACATTGACTCTTCCTGGAAAACCTGGGAGGCAGTACCTACAGAGCTTTTGGGAGCACATCACATTAATGGGGGCATATTAAACACCTGACTGTCATGGCATATGTAAGTTCCTCTGTCTACCTAGAAACTAATTGAGCCAGGTGTGGCGGTTCATGCCTGTAATCTCAGCACTCAAGACATTGAGGCAGGAGGATCGACAAGAGTTTGAGGCTATCCTAGCCTGCATAGTGAGTTCAAGGCCAGCCTAGACTACAAAATGAAAACTTGTCTCCAAAAAATTGCAATTTTCACACACATATTCTTTTAAGTATGTGTTATTGTGTGGATATTCAGTCCATTCTGTATGGCAGCAATGTTAGGGAGCGATTTAAGGAATGTGAAGCAATAAAAGCAAAAGAGCTAAAACTAAAAGAACGATGGGGAGGAGCATTCAAGAAAAGCTGTTGACTGGTTCACTGGTAGCTGAAAAGAACAGCTACATTTCAGCTTTTGTACTTGAAACTTAAATACTTCTTTCTTTTTGCTTTGCTCATCTTTGCTAATTACCTATAATTCCTAAAGGATTTAACTTAACCCAGTGTTAAAGCACAGATCCATAAATGGAGTTTTAATTTTAAAATATTCTTTTTATAGCCTAATGTTTCCAACATAGTGAATTCCCTATGTAATTAAAAGTTTGATTAAACTAGAACCTACAAAAGTATCATAATAAACAATTTCTGCAGAGATCCCTGAACAAATTCATAGCTTGGCCAAGAAATCTTTATAGTCTAGATGTATTCAAATGATTTATTTTAACCTTTGCTAAAGCAAAGCAAAACAATAAGCATATACAAGAAATAAAAATAGTATATCTACTTGAAAGAATTGGGAATTGCTAAGCATGGAACCCTTAGGGTCTGTCCTCTGCCAACTTGAAAAAAGCTGGCATCTGTTCCACCACAAGAGGATGGTAGTGTTCAACTGTTAACAGAGAAACCACAGAGTGCCAGACTTTCTAAGTGTGGTTATGAGAGCCATAGCAAAAATCAATCTCTTAAAGGACAAGGAAACAGGAGCCACATCCCAGACAGGTCTGGAACTTTTGTCCCTGACAACAATAAGACCGGAAATAAGCTACCAGATCTTAAAAAAGAAAGCAATCTCTCTCCCCATCCTGGTGTCCTTGAATCACTATGGAGATGACTTCAGATAAGGGGTCTTTGGATAATAAGCTAAGAACACTTTGGCAGGTATGACGGTACTGAGATCCTAACCAGCATTCAGAAAAGACATAATTAAAGCTTGAGGAACAGAACTGTTCCATCTCAAAAAATTAGAACTGGTTTTAGGAGTCTCCTAGGCTAAACTTGTATTTTATTTAGATTTGTAACACTGGAACATTAAGATAATCAAAGTAATCTTTGAAAACCTATAGCATTACACTTTAAAGTTTCCAGGAAGTTAACTAGTACCAGGAGACAGCAGTATAATAAATGAACTCTCAATATTTTATGTATTTTGACTGATCTAATTATGCTCATAAACTGAGATGAATTAAGTATATTAAATATGTTCTCATGACCAGCATCTGTTTCTGTCTTTGTGATAATTGTCACTAATGTTGTTGAGCTTTAATCTGGAAAACTTTCATTATTTGAAAACTAAATTATTCCTTTATTTAATGTTATTTTAATTTAACATTTATTAAACTTAAAATTGAATGAGAAGACAGTGTCTCTGTGTTAAAAGAACTTTTAAAACATTAATTGCATCCACACGTTTTAAAGTCATCTTCAAATAAAAACAGAACTTGTATATGTTGTCCATGTTTTATGTGTCTTTCCTATCACATATTGTAACTTTCATTGTAGTAATATATTCAAAGCCAAAGGAAAGCTAAATCTAATGCAGGAAATCTTTGTGTTGGTAGACAGGAAACCAAATGGGTTCTGATAATAGGTAATTATCATTATTGTTTTTTTGTGTGTTTTGTTTTTTTATCTTTTTATCAGTATCAGGGATCAAACTCACGACTGCCTGCTTGCAAGGCAGGCGCTTATGCCGCTGAGCTAAACCTCCAGCCCAATTATCATTATGGTTAATACATTATGCATAGACTTTATATTTAAAACATTTACTCAGTTATATTTAATGTTTAAATCAGCAAATATTTAAATCAATTTAAATCAGCAAATATTTATTTGGTTAGACATGAAGAATAACAAAACTGGATAAAACATAGATGTGAGGATAGGATATTCATGAGAGAAGGAGGGTAATTAGTATTTTTGAGCAGCTACTCTGCAATAGATCTTTCTGACTGTCCTCACCACAATCCTGAAGTATTATCTGTATTTTATGGGGAAAAAAACTTAGCTTCAGAGATACTGAATAGTATGCTGAAGGTCACAAAATTATTTGAGATAGAGTCAAGATCAGAACCCAGATCTATTCAATGCTAAGGTATAGACTTTTTCAATGGGACTATTCTGTTGGAATATTAGTCACTGACTCCTAAGAAAAATAATTTTTATGAATGGCAGTTTAGTAATTTTTGGTTTAACAAATGTACTACATAGTAATGGCCTATATGGAACTATATAGTGATGGGCAGTAACTATATATATATATTTTTTTCTTTTTTTTCAACAAAGAAGTAGTTGAGCTTTTATTAGGTCTGACTAGAAGTGGAGTATAGGGAGGCAGGCAAAGTGACATACTGGTAGCTGATTGGAGGAGTGTCAGTGCATGTGGGAAGGAAGAGGAGGTTTTATTCTGGGCTGAGGGAAGAAGCAGGAAGTTGATATGCTATTGTTTTGGGGGTCTCTCAGCCAAGTTGGACCACTGCCATGATGACTCGGAGGATTCCACATGGGTGAAAACCCATCAATATATATTTATACACAACTAATTCTTTGTTAATTACTGTATAATACTTGATTAGATTAATATATTAAAGTGTATCTATTCATATTCTTATAATTACATATTTACACAAGATTTGCTATGGTTTTGACTCAAAACTAATTTTAATTATAATATTGGAATTTATTTTAGTAATAAAAGTACAAAATTATTCACACTAACCTTTTTTCTCTTGACACAGATCATTCTCGAATTGAAGTATGGAAATTTGGAAATATTGTTATCGAACTCCTGTACCACTGGTTGCACATCTGTTCAGCTCTCATAAAGCTAACCCAAAAACTGGACGGTTCTATTAGACCTCCATTTCCCTCCAAGTCTGACCAACATATGTATGCCAAAATGCCAGGGGAAACTTGATCAGGAAAATCCTAGCAGAATTGGTACTCTATTTAGGATACAGTGCTTTGATAATGTCCATTGCTGTTAACTTTAAAATATCTTCAAGTGCAAAGAGTGAAGTTTAGACATATTTGGGACCTAGACATTTCCTTTAGTACTTTTTAAAATCAGAAGTGCTACCTATGCAGAAATTTTGTCTAAGAAATAATCCGGTTAAGGTAACTACAACCAAATGTATTTAAGAGTATTATAAAATATGTTTGAAGTCCCCTTTGTGATGTGAGCTTTGGATATGCCAAAGAGACTACAATAGTTGATTGGGTATTTTTCACTCTTTTGTGGTACAAACTACAGAAAACTGTGGATTTATATAAAAATACCGGGTTTTTATTTTTTAAATCAAAAGAGTACCAAATAATAAAAATTTTAAGAAATACACTTGAAATTGTTTTCCTAATTTCTAAAGACTTAATCTGAGTACCATCTCTTCCGCTTCTCCCCCCTCCCCTTTCCTTAAGAACTTAAAAGTTATTTTAATAAACAGAAATTCTTGTGGGAAACTGTTGGGCCATGACTTACAGAAAAACAAAAACAGTGTTTTGTTTTGTTTCATTGGTACCAGGGATCAAACTCACGACTGCACATTTGCATGGCAGGCCAAAAACTGTTTTTAAAAAATGACAAAAACCTCTCAAGTTTGAGAACTACAAAAAAATTTGTTTTAAAGCTTCTTATTATGACAAACTTTGCTGCTCTATTGTGAGATTTCATCTTTGCAATAAGGTATCTGATGATGGAGTCCATTTTTAATAAAATTTTGGGAAATTAAACTTTATTTTATTAGAGTGACAAAATGCAATGTGTTCCAAAAATCTTATAATTGGAGATCGAAAGTCCCTTTTTAACCTTTTCTGATAAGATTGCACTGTTATTACCAGCCCTCATCTTCTGGATGATCTCAGGCCAGTTTTAACCTATCAGCCTCTTTGTATTTGATGGAGGACATCTTTGGGCATTTGCAGCAACATTTCTAGGAGCAATGTTCTTGATATTAAATTGATAGCCATATATCCTGATGGCTTCAGAACAAGCTTATAAGAACTCACTGTGAATACAAATAACATTTAAGGCAGCAAGGGAAAAGATTTTGCAGAATGCTCCCTATTTAACCATTATCATGGAAATTAAGTTAACTAAATGACCTCTAGCTGCATAACAAATAACATGCATTTGCATGACATTTTAACTTGAAGTGTTTTCACCCACTAGCTCATTTGATCCTTCAATAATCTATAAAGTAGATATTCGTGATACTATATTTTATAAGTGAGGAAACAATCTCAAAAAATGCGCTGTCAAGTTCATACAGCTAGGAAGGAGCAGGGTAAGAAGCATCCATGAACCCTAACGTCTAGTTTATTTATTGCCTTTGCCAGCCCCCCCGACATCTCACTAACACTTTCCAATTTTTGAGTCTTGCTGTGTAGGTCAGCCTGGCCTTGAACTGACAGTGATCCTCCTGTTTCAGCCTCCTGAATGCTGGGATTACAGGCATGCAGCACAATGCCAGACTTCTAAATGTACCAGGCTAATGACCGTACTATCTTTTATAAAATACTTTGAAATTAAGTAACTAACAACTCACATTAGTTGAAGCTTTTAGACTTATTAGGCTAGTGTATACACCATCAGTTTTTTTGAAACTGCTGCAAAATTAAACAATGAGGGACTGGGAATTTAGCTCAGTGGCATAAGCACCTGCGTGGCAAGTATGACAAGCCAAATTGGTTGAATTATAAACTATCATATCAGGTAAAATACCATTCTTCGATATCTAGAACTTGCTTTTTTAATGAAAAGGATGTTATCTGTACTTGAGAAGAATTTTGATACAGGTTATATCTAAATCTGTTTATTTCACTGTTAAAAGGGCATCATGGTGTTACTTCCAACCATGTTTTTTTGATGAAAATGTGTACTTAAGCATAACGGTAGCCAGCAGGGCATCTCAGTACTTGTGCTGAGTTAATATAGGAAGCAATCTTTTTGTTCACCTACTTGGTACAGTGAACAGCAAGTTATACAAAGTGTAGATGGGTAAATTTTATCCACATTATGTGCTGTTACATTTCTGTGTCACATGAAAATCCACTTTTATAATTTTGAGAGAGGTTGACAGTAAGCTATCAGGTGATTCAGCTGCCAATGATGACTTGGATCATGTAAAACAAAGAAGTTAGCAAGATATGACAGGTATAGAAATACAGAATGAAGACTGATTCAGATGTAGAAGAAAACAATAATGCAGATAAATATTTGACAGCCAAAATACTACAAAATGGTCCCATATACCTGAACATTCCATATACCTGAACATTAGAAATAGGTCAGAAAATGTTAATAGGTTCTTGCCAGAATGATACCTGTTAAGACAGACTACTAATATTACAATTCAGTGTTGGAAATTGTTTACTACAGAAGATATGCTACAAGATGTTTTGAAAATCATTAATAATGAAATACAAGTAAAACATTCTGTATGCAGAAATAGTAATACTCAAAAATATATTTATCATGATATCTCACATCCAAACCAGAAGCCTTGGAAGCAAGACTATTGTTCCAATCGTCAGAATCTAAAGGATCTATGGAAAAGTGACAGATGCGGCACTGAGAATTTTAGAACAATAAGGACTCTCAAGAAATGTGACTTCTTTCAAAATTACCTACAAAAGACCATCCAGCCAATAAAGAAAAAAGAAAAAAATTGAACAATTTGGCTATACTCAGAATCTGTCAGAGGGTCCATTTTTAGAACAGTTCATCCCAGTACAGCATATGGCACATGGACAGTTAGGTACCAGTCTACGGTGAGCTTGCCAGCTTTGTTCATCAGAAGGACAGTGGCTGTTAGAGCACAAGGCAAAGGGAGGAGGCAGCCCTTTCAACCAGGTCTAAGTATTTGCACAAGTAGGCCACTGGGTGCTCCCAGGGGCTGACAGTCTGAGTAAACATGATTGTATTTGTGACCTAAAGATTTTATAGAAGGGATTGTTTAGGTCCATGCAGGTGTACCAGCAACCTATAGGTAGCAGAAGACTGAGGCGATGTATATAGAGGGCAATCGTGCTGGCACTGGCAGCTTGGAGATCTTGAGCTGGCTTTACAGACAGAAGAGGTATATTTTAGCAGTTTGACAGTCTATGCTGTTTGCTCAGATGACTCTGACAGAGCTGAAAGGGACTGATACAGACTGTCTCAGAATGGCCAAATCTATTGTCAGAGCCTCCCTGAAAATAGTGGGAGAGTTCTCTCAACCTTTGTGGCTGCATTGTTGATGGCATGAAGATCTTGCCCAGGTGATTAACTTATCACTTAGATCTTATCTCTTATCATGAAGATCTTGCCCAAGCTGATACACTTATCAGGCTGATGTGTGGCTGGATGCCTGCATGTGTTTTCTGTGACATCTGGCAGCAATGGGGGTAGCAGTGAGGTGGCATGGTTGATAGCAAGGCCCAGAGGCAAGTCTTTTTTTTTTTTTTTTTTTTTTTTTTTGGTCTTTTTCGTTTTTTTATCGGTACCAGGGATTGAACTCACGACTGCCTGCTTGCAAGGCAGGCGCTTATGCCACTGAGCTAAATCCCCAGCCCCCAGTGGCAAGTCTTCAGTCTATACCTCTGGGAGGAGAGTTTTCAGAACTTCAGGATTACTGTTATCTGTCTGCATTTGCTGATGCAGGTGTCATTTTTCCTCTCAGGAAACAGTCAAAGTTGAAAGTGCAGGATTAAATGACAGAAATGCTGACTGCTTGGTGCAAAGGAGATGATCAATTATAACTTGAAGAGGTCTCTCCCCAGAAGTGGTATGGGGATTGGCTTATACAGGAATTCATGTTTTGGAGATGTGCTCTCAGGGTGCAAGTTTGTGCTTGGCAGAAGGTACAAGAGGCAAGGGTCCCAGTTGCCCTGGTGATAGTAACTTTTTGACAGAGGGAACTTTTGAAGGCAGAGAGTTCTGTTCCATTGTCTACCAGGTAATTTTGTTCCTAACTTTTGCAATGACCACTGGCTCTCAGGGGCCCAATTTGATATAGCTTGATGTGCCCTGATCTATTCAGGCCCAACAGGGTGCAATTCATTTCTCAGGGGTGACAGTCCAACTTTTCCTCAGTCAAAATGTAGCATTCAGGGGTTGGGGATATAGCTCAGTGGCACAAGTGCCGGTGTGACAAACACAAGGTCATGAGTTCAATTCCTGGTACCCTTCCAAAAAAAGATCTTCAAATGTAGCATTCAGAAGGGATTGATGGTCATCTCAGGTGGGCATTAGATGATGACATCTGACCAGGTAAGTGCATCTCCAGGGGCAGGGGGGACTGTGTGGCTGAATGCATGCAGTGGCTAGCTAGAACCAGTTCAATTGGCTGGAAGTTAGCAGCTACAGTGCCAAGAAGGCAGAATTCTCAGGAAGAATGGGCCTGTTTTTCCTTTTTTTTTTTTTTTTTTTCTTGGAAATATAGGTAATGATTTGATTTCATTTTTAACTCCATAAAAGTCCCTTTTCCTGCAGTCAGGGACTGTGGATTTTAACTAATTAGTCTTCATTCTATCTCCCTATGTTGTATACCCTTGAATGATGGCACAACAGACAAAGGGTGGATGCCCTTCAGAGAGAGAACATTCACATGCCCACCTGGTCACACCCTTCATGGGGATTTAGGCACGACTTTGCTAAAGACAGCATGAGGCCTCCCTTATGCCATACAATGATTTCTATGCAACCACAAGTGACAGCCCAATCAGCTACTGCAACCCGTGCTTCCCAGTCATGATGCACAGATGGAGCAACCTATTATTTGCACTGTTTCACTCATTCAGCAGGTGCTCAGAGGTTAAACATTCCAACTCTTCTTCTCTTGAAGATGGCCTTAACAATAGTTGTCAAAATTTCCTTCTGCTTGAACTGAGCAGGACTGACTAATTGGTGTGTCCCCAGGGGTATTACCAGAATCAGGCAGGCAGACAGGCAGATTGTGTTCTCCTCCCTTTGGGGTTCAATGTGAGCTGCTCAAGTGGGGATCCAGGAATCTTCCCGAAGACCTCCAAGGAGACTCAAGAAATCTCTAGGGTGTGCCTTCCTGTTGGCACCTGGAGAGGTGACCAGTGACCAAAGAGGTCAACATGGTCAGTCTTCCTGGCAGATGCATCAGATGCAATGGCAAGCAGAAACTCCAAAATGACATCCAGGATTTGAAGGCAGATTTATTTTAGGTGAGTGGGCACAGAGTGGGGTCACTCCCAAAATAACAGAGTCTGGTCTCTGGTGGTCTAGGGCTTATATGAGATAAGCAGGAAGTACAGAGGCAGAATGGTTTGTCAGTTGGGATTGGTTTATACAATGTGCTTCATAGTTGTGACCAGAATGGGAACTATTAC